CTCTCCCTCCTCCTCCTCCTTTCTCTCCCTTCTCCTCCTCCTCCTTCTCCCTCCTCCTCTCTTTCCTCCTCTTCCTCCCCCTCCTCCTCCCTCCTTCTACCTTCTTCTCCCTATTTCCTTTCCCCTCCCCCTCCTTCCCTTCCTCTTCTTCCACCACTCCTCCCCCTTCCTCATCCCCCTGACATTCCCCCAGACATCTGGTCTACCTGGGATCCCCTCTCCCTCCCTCCCCATGATGTGTTATCACAGGGCCACCCAGAGGCCCAGCCAAAGGTCCCAGGCCTTGTTGACTTACCCTTGGCATCAGTCAGGATCAAATCTGAGCAGAAGCCACACCAACAATTTGACAGAGAGAACGGGCCAGAAGGAAATGTTCTCCAGTCATCAGAGAATGCAGATGACAAGGACACTGTCCTTCAGGGTGCTGGCGCTCAGCTCCTGAAGCAGCGCCCATCCCATGGCTGGGACAGCAGGCAGCTCAGGGGAGGAGCCCTCGGAGGTGAGGGGCTCCCAGTTCGGCTGGGAAAATGCAAACTGGTCACATACCCTGAGGCTGGACAACCCTGGGTGGGACGAGGATGGACTGACCCCAACCTGAACTCACCCTCCGGCCACCCGTTGCAGGGCCAAATAGGGAGCAGCTGACGGGAGCCTCGCAGGCCCGTCTCCACCCAGCCAGGGAGCACATGGGAGCGCCCTGAGGCTGCCCCAGCTAAGTACAGCACACCTGGGGGTTTAAAACGATGCAAATTTCCTGTGGTCCCAGCCACTCAGGAGGCTAGCACAGGAGGATCGCTGGAGCCCAGGGGTCTGAGGCTTCAGTGACCTGTGTTCATGCTGCCACCTTCCAGCCTGGGCAACACAGAGAGACTGTCTCTAATCTAAACAAACAAACAAAAAACGACCACACAAATGTATTATCTCCCAATCCTGGAGACCATGTCTGAAATCAGAGTCACAGGGCTGGTTTCTCCCGGACCCTCTGAAGAAGGCTCCATCTCAGCTCCTGGTGGCTGCCGGCCACCTTGGCTTGTGGAAGCGCCGCTCCAACCCCTGTCTCTGTCACGCACAGCTCTCTTCTCTCTGTGGGTCTGCGTCTCGTATCGCCCTCCCCTTTCCCCATGAGGACATGCAGTCATTGGCCTTGGGCCACCCTAAGCCAGGAGTGCCTCATCTTCAGAGCCACAAGAAGGGATCTTAATTCCATCTGCAGAGACCCTTTCTCCAAATAGGGTGCCCATTCACAGATACCAGGCACTACGACTTGGACGTACCATTTTGGGGGGCCCCATTCAACCCACTGCAGTGAGCTGTGAGGGCTCAGTGACCCTCACGCCTCCCAGAAAAGAACAGAGTCCACCAGGACCCTGTCGGGGTCTGTCAGCTGTTGGGAGAGAGAAGTGCCTTGGACAAAGGTGAAGTCCATTTTATCAAGGTATTCCGGATTTCCAGTGTTCTCAAAGTCCACCGTCAGAGCACTCACGCGGTTACTGGTGTGGCCAGAAATCGCCATGGAAGAAGGTGGGCTCGGAGCTGGGCTCTGGAGAGAGGGTAGGATGGGTGTGGGTGGAAACAGGATTGGACAGAGCCTTTGCCCTGCCCCGTCTCCCCACTGGCAGCTCCACATCATCACCAAGCTCTGCAGATGACTTCCTTCAGCCTCAGGCTGACACTCAATTATAAAAAAAGTTTACTTCTCTTTCCTGATTATTAAGATAATACTGACATATAAGAAAGTGCGCCCATTTTAAGTGTGCAGTTGGATGAGTTTGACCCTTGTATATAATCACACCCCCTGCAAGAGATTAACGCTTCCTCCCTAAAGGTGTCCCCTAATCCCTTAGTAACTGACCCACTCTCCCCTGTCCCAAGCAACCACTGACCTGGCCTCTACAGTTTCTGGTTTCCATTTGGTTTCTATTCACTCTTGGTCTTTCTTTGGGATAACAAGTCCATGAAAATCCAGCAGCCTTCCTGGTGCGGCTGGGCCCATGGCCACCGCCTCACTCCAGCTCTGCTCTCGGATGCGTCTGTATTCTATACCATCCCTCTCTGCCTGCTATCTGGAATTTCAAATAAATGAAAGTCTACAGTGCATCTCTGTGTGTGACTTCTGTCCCTTGGCACGGCCACATCACTGCCTGTGGTCACAGTCTGGTGCATTCTGCTGCTGAGTAGTAATCCCAGCACTTTGGGAGGCCAAGGCAGGCAGATCACCTGAGGTCGGGAATTCGATACCAGCCTGGCTAACATGGTTAAACCCTGTCTTACTAAAAATACAAAAATTGCTTGAGCCTGGAAGGCGGATGTTGCGATGAGCCAAGATTGCAGCACTGCACTCCAGCCTGGACGACTGCGGTGAGACTCCAACTCAAAAAAGAAAATGGACAGCTTCCTCTGGATCTTTGGGTCTTCATTCTGAAGGCCCCCGTCTACATGCTTAATAAATGTGTCTGCCTTTCCTCCTGTCTGCCTTTTGCAAGTTGATTTTTCAGCAAATGCAAAGGGCCCAAGGGAAAGCCTTGTCCCCTCCCCTGCTGTGACCATCCGCCAACATGTTTTTGAGCACATTCATGCTTTCCTTTCTCCTTGATGAATGCCTACGAGTGGCAAGCTCATGTTTAACTTGATAAGAAACGGCCACCTGGTTTTCCAGACAAGCTGCACTGTTGTGCAATTTCACCAGCAGATACTGCACCACATCCTCACCCATGCTGGATGTCACCACGATGGCACTGGTATCTTCTTTAATTTCAGCCACTGTATTGTGTGTCTGTGTGCGTGTGTGTGCCTGTGTGTGCATGCATATAGTGTGTGTCTGTGTGCGTGTACCTGTGTGCGTGTGTGTGCCTGTGTGTGTGTTCATACACACACATGTATTGGTATAGTATTTTGGTTTCACTTTGCATTTCTCTGGTGACAAGCAAGAGTATTTTATCGTGTGCTTATTAGCCATTGGTGTATCTTCTTTTCAGGATGGGAGTACCTCTTCCAGTCCTTTGCCTATTTTTTTGTTTTTTGCGTTTTGGTTTTTGGGTTTTTTTTCTAGAGACAGAGTCTTGCTCTGTTGCCCAGGCTGGAGCACAGTGGCACAATCACAGCTCACTGCAGCCTCAACCTCCTGGACTCAGGTGATCCTCCCACCTCAGCACCCCAAGAAGCTGGCACTACAGGCATACACCACCACTTCTGTTTTTTTTCTTTTTTTTAGAGAGATGGGGTCTTTCTATGTTGCCCAGGTTAAACTTCTGGGCTCAGGCAATCCTCCCACCTCAGCCTCTGGAGTAGGTAGGAAGGACCACAGGTGTGTCCAGTTCTGCCCTTTTCTTAAATAGGATTGTCTGGTGAGTTGGTTGAAGGCAAAAAATAAAAGTGATTTAAAAAATAAACAATAAACAGGGTTGTCTGTCTTACGATTGAATTCTCAGAGTTCCTCATATGCTCTGATACAAGCCCTTTACTGAGCACGTATTTTGCGCGTTACCCATGGCTTGCATTTTTATTGCCTTAACTATATCTCTAGAAAGCAGAGGTTGTGGCAAGGGGGTGAGGACATGTTTTTCCATGCACACAGTGCCTGGGCTCTAAGGTGGACAGTTCTGGAGGCCTGATGCCAGTGTGGAGACTAGTTAATGAGACTCCACTGTGCACTGAAGATTCGCTTAGCGAGTACATCTTAGGTAATCTCACCACAGAAGAGGGTAGCTGTGAGCTGATGGACGTGTGAATTAGCTTGACTGTGGCAATCACTTCACAATGTATACAGATATCAAAACATGTGTGCCTTAAATATACATAATTATTCTTTGCTAATTATACCTTGATAAAGCTGGTGGAAAATTAAATTGCTTAATTACCAAAAGAAGAGCAAACATCTTTTTTTCATTGTTTTCTATTATAATACCTGCTTTGATGTCCTGTTTAGAAAATGGTTCCTGAATCCAATGTCCAGATATTTTCTCCTCTGCTGTCTTCCAGAAGAGCAGCCATTTTAGCTGTTACACTTAGCCCTGAGATCCATTTTGAGTTGATTTTCGTGTACAGTGTGAGGTAATGCTTGAGGTTCGCTTTTGTTAGTAGCCAGGCTGGAGTGCAGTGGTGTGATCTCGGCTCACGGCAACTTCCACCTCCTGGTTTCAAGCGATTCTCCTGCCTCAGCTTCCCAAGTAGCTGGGACTACAGGCATGTG